AGGAGGTAGAGAGCAAGCAAGAGAGAAGTTACAGGATTCGAGATTGTGAGTTTACTTTATTTGATGCCTGAAGAGGGAAGGTTTGAAGGGTATCTTTGTATTTACGGACTCAGAAAGTATCCCCAAATTATCTGCTGGATGACATAAAATTTCACATGAGAAAAGGAAAGAAAATAGGATTCAAGGATTCAATGATAGTACGTAAAGAGGTTATCTGAGAAGCGCTTTCCGACAGGCCAGATTCTAAAACATTTGAAGAGGTTACTGTTGGAAAGGGGCCTGCTTTTCCCAGCAGTTATTACAAAAGGGATGAATACAGACCCAGATGGACTTGACCAGGGACGGCGCCACCTCGTGGCAGAGGAGACCAGGTACCTTCTGGAGGGGCCTTCCACCCTGTTCTCTGAGGCTTAGTTCCTGACTTTGCAGCTTGGGCTCTGGGGTGAGATGCTGCCCTCTAGTGCCCTGCTGCTCCACCCTCAACAGCATCTCACTGCCCAGATGCCAGTCTAATTAGGAACCCCCAGCATCGTGGTGTCGGTCCTCCACCCAGACAGAATCACCCTACGTAGCAAAGCCATTCAGAAAACATTAAGTTGTTTGTTGAATTAAAATATCCTTCTGAGAAAACTATGAGAGGAGTCAGTCCAGCGTTGGGATGTGAGGATGTCGAGTTCCCTTACACGTCCTGAGTGTGGACCGCACAGGGGTGCAGCTGGGAACACGCAGGACACCCGGTCTGGGTATCTTTATTGGGCAGACACAGTCCGAGGGGTGCAAGGTACGGGGAGGGGTGGCAGGTCTAAACTTCACGCTGAGTTTCTAGCCCCGCCTCGTGGGTGCAGGGCTTGGACGTTTGGGAGTTCCAGACAGGATGGAGAATCTCTTGGTGGGCAAGTTGAAGAAGGCATTTCAACTAGCAAAATGGAGTGACACAGACAGTCTTTAAATCTCCCTTATGCCTGACTCTGAGTTCCTTGAAGGAAGGCAGGGTTTTCACCACTGTATCCTACCTGACACCGTGCCTGGTACCTAGGCCAGATAGATACTCAGCTAGTGCTTTGTTGAATGAATGAATATATTCACTTACAATTTCCCTGGGAGAAGAAAACTAGTCCAAATAAATAGTTCATTAATAGGTTGAGAGAGAAAAAGAGAACAGCCCCTGACACTTAGAACCTCGCCTGGCAACTGCACTGCCATGTTATTCTCCCATTGCTCATAAACTCACGGAATGCCAACCTTGGGCAAGGTTACAAGGAGACTATGACCAAATGAGACACAGCAAGGCCACCTCATAATTTTGTCTAAGCACAGACAAAAATAAGGTCAGTGTGCCACCCACAGAACACCAAACACCCATCCCTCAGCCACACGAGGGCTGCTGCTGCTTTACAAATTGCAGCCTATCCACAGGCTTGTCTCTCCCTCCTGCAGATAAGACCTAATCGTAGACCTGCCTGTCTGCTTCCTGGCAGCCTCCCATCTAGGGCAAAGCCCCATTTCCTTAGATGTTCCCCCAATCCTCAATAAGCTCTTTCTAAGCCCCTCTTCCTGGGACACTCCACCGCTCCTGGTCTGGACTCTCACTCACTACAACCCTGCTTGTTTAGCTCCAGGGCTGCTTCTGCGAGTGTCTGGCCGAAGGGCATTGACCAGGTAAATGTTAAGGAGAAACAAAAAGAACCCCAGTGCAGCGTGGATCCTGTAAGGATCCCAGGGCTGTGAGAGTTGTGTTCGTTACAGAACACTTCCTGAAAGAGGAAGGGTCTTATATATTAACACCCGATAATATTTCCCTAGGCGTTATCCTAAGCACTTCACAGACGTCATTTCATCATGCAAGGTAGCACTATTATTATCCCTATTGACACATGAGGAGGTGAAGTAACCTCCCCAGGGTCAGACAGCTGGCAAGTGGTGGCGCTAGGGTTCAACTAGGTCCTCTGACTCCAGAGCCCAAGCCTCAGATAAACAGGACTCTGAAGGTAGGAGGTATGTAGCGTGTGTTCTGGGAGGGCGGGAGGGGGCAGACAGGCAGGCATGAGCAAAGGCCCGGGGGCAGGAAGTAACAACTCTGCCTAACGCGCATCTGGACATTTAGTAAGTTGAGTAAAAATCTTCGCAAGCCCCGCTGCTGTCCCCAGGTAACCCCAGCGCTGGCCGGGCTCCCTGAAGGCCGGCTCCCAGGGCCAGGGCCAGTGCAGGCATTAGGGCAACACTTTCTGGTTCTTTAAGTGGCTTTGATCCTGTCACCTTCACTTTAATGATAAAAAGTGCTCCACGGGCCTCCACCCACACCTCGTCCCTCATCTCCCGGAGCCTGGTAGGGTAGCTGGGTGTGGCCAGAATCCAGAATCCACCTAACTAACGCCCACCCCTCTTTTGGGTCTCCACATCCAGATGTCACTCCTTAGGGAAGCCTCCTCTGACGCCCGGGACAGGTTACATCTCTTTGTCACAGGCTCCCGAGTGGCCTCAGCTTCCCTTTTGGTGGCTCTTGTGACAGTTCAGGATGTGTCCTCCTGCTGGACGGTAAGTCCCGCGAGGGCAGGGCTGTGTTGGCTCGGTCACTGCCGGGCACACCCCGGGAACTCAGAGTCGTGAACTCAAGGGGGAACAGACTGAGTGGCGGGAGATTTGGGGAGAACCAGGTCAATCCCTTTCCCTTCCCATCCCAACGCTTGCCTCCTGGGCCTCAGTCAGGTCAGGTGTTGCCTAGAGAAATCCACCCATGGGCTTTTCTTCTAACAAGAGTCCGGTCAGTCCTTCACAGACTTCACCTTCTGAGAAGTGACCTTCCCCCTCTGGTGAGTTATCCAAGGTGACACGGAGCCAAAGAGCAAAGCCAGAAAGAAAACTCAGATCGGCACTCTCAAGATGGGGCTTGATATGTATACGTACAGCTGATTCCCTTTGTTACACAGCAGAAACCAACACACCATTGTAAAGCCATTGTACTCCAGTAAAGATGTTAAAAAATAAAAGGCGGGGCTTGATTTTTTTTTTGGCTGCATGGCTTGCAGGAGTTTAGTTCCCAGACCAGGGATCAAACCCGTGCCCCTTGCAGTAGAAGCGTGGAGTCTTAACCACTGGACCGCCAGGGAAGTTCCTTGATCTTTTTCTTAAAGGAATAAAGAGGAGGAACTGGGCCGGAATACTGATTCTCTCAGAATGCCATCGAGTGTGGACTTAGAATGCCTGCAGCTTCCACGTGTGCCCCGAGGAGATACTAAAGTGTAAGGAGCCTCTCAGGACAAGGTATTTCTTAAACAGGAACAGGAAAACACAAGAAGCACCATCTGGATTTATGGCTAAGATTGCAGAGATGATCTGGATTCAATTCTGGACTGTGACTCCCCTGAGCTGGCTTAAATAGTGAGATGAGAGCCGGAATCAGCCTGCTGTGCAGCGTCTCCATAGAAGGTACAGCAAAGCTAAAAGGCTGCAGGGAACACAAATGTCTTTGGCAAGGCCCTATGCTCCGTTCTCACAAGAAACCAGTGCTAATTTCTTAGATCCACAGCCACACAGGGAGAAAGTTCAAATAAAAGCCAAGTTCATAGCCTGCAGGGCTGAGGAACAAAAGCCAGGAAATTAGAGTTGAGAAAACGCATTACATAATCTTACAGCAGGAGGCTGAGCTGAGTCACAGCAAGGAAGGAGCCGGCAGGTGTCAGGAATAAGCAAGACACCTTCTAACCTGGGATGGATGGAGCCCAGGGCAGCAGAGGAGCGGGGGCGGGGGAAGAGAGGGACCAAACCAGCTCCCCAGCTAGCTCCCAGCCTGGAGTCTGGGAAAACATGAGAAGAAAACTACTCCTGCGGAATAGTGAGGGTTAATGATGAGCTATGAACACCTTTCCGAGACGTTTGGGCTCACCTCTCCCTTATACATCACTCTCACTGACCAGGCAGCCCCCGAGAACCAGGTACCTCATATTTCTTTAAAACGTTCCTTTCTTCCGTCAGCGGTGCCCAAGCATCATGATCCAATTATTCACAGGGAGTGAGGCAGGGCGGCTTGTTTCACCAAACCTCTTCCTGCATTTAGTGCAAAGGGGTAAAATGAAGCAAAATCACTTTGCTAAAGCTTCTGATCAAAAATTATGTTTGACAAGGTTTTTGTTTTTCTTTTCCTTGCTATCTTTTCATTACCTTTCCTTTTTCTCTTTACAAGTACAGAATGTATACTTTCATCTAGAAGTGGACTGTTTTACGCAAAATAAAATGTTTGTTGAACAATAAATAAAACCTCCTTCCCTGGGGCCAGAGGGCAGTCTGGGACAGAAGCACGAGCAGGACCGCTCACTATTAAGACTGTTTTTAGCACTGCTCCTGGTGACCCGGGAGGTGACCTCAAATACCTGGATGGCTTAGGCACAATTCTGTAAAGGTGTCACTTTTCTACATCATCAAAGCTCAGGTGAATTTTCATCATAATGAATCTCAATAATAGTCCGGCATTTAGACAGACTGGGACACGGTTTTAGCGAACGGAAATCTTGACTGTTTCCATGGGTAGATAAGCCTTAGTCATTCTGCTTTGCATTTCTCGCAGCTCTACAATTAAGGTATCTTTGATACCTTCCTTTTTGGCCAACAGAAGCTTAAATGATTAAGTGAAGTGTCTAACGTACTTCAAAAGGACATACCGGGAGTGGCTGGAGGTTGGTGGACTCAGGTAGCTTGCTCTTCGGGTGACGGCCGACACCCTCCAGAATGCTCCTCTGTGCCAGAAGCCACTGAGAGCAAAGGCGCCAGGCCTTGGTCTATTTCAGAATTTTCAGTTGCACGGAGTAAATGCTGTTCCCCACGGGTTATATGCTTAGCTAGTGCTCGTGATGATTCAAATTGAGAGCAAGGGTCTTCCCCCACCTGCAAGTTGGTTACATAAGAGTTACAGGAAACCACCACCTCTGGAGTCCACTAAGTTTGAGTTGAAAACTTAAATAACGCAAGATGGAGATGAGACACAGGAATCATGGCACACACAGACCTCCAGGACCTGCTACGGAAAGCTTTAATCACTCCACGTAGAAACAATACATTCATACATCCAACATGGCTCCCAAGTCTTGACCACCCTCACTGGAACAGTCTATTGTATTTTGTATTTGGCATTAATACAAAACCTTCCTGTTCGTTACCGCCAAGATTTAGGAGACTGTTTCTTATAAACACAGTTTTTTTTCACCCTGAGGCTGATATTACCAAAGTGGAAAAGAAGAGTTACTATCAGCTGGAGTGTATTTAATGCAGAATTTTAAAAATCATTTATTCATGACTCTGGAATGTTTCTCTCCCCACTCCCACCCCCAACACTATGTGAGGACAAGAGAAAAGATGGCAAACGGCGGTGTCTGGTCTGATTACACTGATGATACGATTCTCAACTCGATCTACTGATGAAAACAAAGAGAACACTAACATTGACGAACTCAACACTATCACGTTTAAAAAGGTCATCACGATCAGCCCTTTCTTATAAAAGGGGAGTTGGAGTAGGGTCTCAGACATGAATAACAGCACAGTTGTTACTCACAGTGTCTATCGCAGGGCACTCTGCCTACTAGAGACGAGCCAGCTAGCGAAGTGCAGAGTTCACACCGGTTGCCTTGCAAGTTTCAACCTTGGGCTCTTAGTCTCCTGTAGATCAGATCGGCACGTGTCCAAAGGAGTAACAACCCCCAAAGCTACAACAGTTATCCCATTCAAGTGATACAAGAGGCAATCATGTTAAGTTGGAAAAAAAGAAAAGGTAGCCGTGTTGAAGTGCAGACCATTTTGACATCATTTTGTATGCAAATAACAAGTAAGCAGAAGAAAGAGCTTTTCAGAATCTGACTCCCTGATGTCTCTAAGGTCCTCTTTTGGGAGCGAGTCCGGAGCAGCGGTGTGCCACCTCCCACAAGGCAGCCTGGTGACTTTCCCGCCTTTATTTCCCTGATGACCTCGGCGTGTTTCTAAGATGTGTCCTTTCCAAACACTAACAGCGCTTCATCGAAACCGGCTGTTAGTCTGCACATCAGAATTGGGAAGCGTTTGTTGTCACTTGACTGCAAAGCATTGGACATGCAACTTCCTGAGCACTAGGTACTCCCTGTGCACGACTTACTTTCGGCTGCACAATCACGTGTACTCTGGGCTACGACGAGGATCTGGGGGTATGTGGCAGCTGAAGAATTACACACCTAATCATGCTCCCTACTCCTCATTTGTATTATTCCTAGATGCCTTCCCAGTTCAAGTGAGGGAACGAGCGTCCCAGGCATAGACATTTACTGGATTTTTCTTGAGAAGTTAAATTACGTTCACTACCTTTCAGCCCAAACGGAGTGAAGATGATGGAGAGGGAATTTAGTATTAAACTGAGTTAGAAAAAGGTTTCTCAGAAAAGATACCAGTGTTCTTTTTTTTTTCAGGTAGAATCATAGAAAATCAAGGTTGGAAAAACACTTAACAGTCGTATGGCCAATTCCCCCACCTGACACCCAAACTCCTGTGTGACATCTCTGCCTTGTTGCTGTCCAGCCTCTGCTAGAATAGCTTGAGGGGCTGTTCCAACATCACTCAGCCCTCCTTAAAACAGAAGAGCCAAACAGATGCAGCAGGTAAGCAAACTTCCACTGGGCGCGATTATGCATTATACCTAACTTTTCAAGAGAGTTAGCAGATTGTCAACTGCTGCTCAAAAGAGTAACCCAGCTTTGTTCCAAGCATCCCAGGCTTTCTGCAGACGATTCAAAATGGGGAGATACGATTTAGAAGTGTGGATTTTATAAATCCTTGCTGAATAGCTGTGGGGGGGGCGGCAGATAAAAAAAATCTCTTAGAAGTAATCATTGTAGGGACCCCAAAACAAAGGGAAAGTATGTGTTTTAAATAATAAATAAAAGTTTCATTCTGAAGATGCAATAAAAGCCTTGTGCAGTAAGTCTTGGTACAAGAATTCAGGAGCGCTGGGGGATGACGCGCGGGCTGATTACAGTCAGTTCAGCAGAAGAGGAGGAGAAGGGCTAGGCCGAGTGTGCAGCCTGCCGCCCGAAGGCACCGGGAGCAGGGCGCCCTGTCCTGATCCTCCCCTTCTGGCTTGTCTGGCAGCACTGCCAACGATTCTCTTGTTTCTATTTCCCTCAAGGTACTCAGGCTGCTTCAAGGTTTTGAATTCCACCCCTCTTCGGAAGACTAACAAGGCAACACGTAGATCGGTGCACCATCATCTCAGAATTCGTTTACAAAGGCTCAGTTCCTCTGAAGGGACACCTTTATGCCTATATTTTTATTTTTTGAACATACATATGAATCAGTCTATTTGAGCTGAAAACATTTACCCTGAAGACACGGATGTAAACGTTAAAGATGGAGGGACTCAGCTGATTGCGTTCTGAGCGCTGTCTTTCACCCCAGGTGTTAAAACAGCAATGGTATCGATCTGTAACAAAGATGAGTAATGGACAAAAACAAACAACAAACCAACCCTAAAGTCAGTATGTCTTTTTATAGGGCGGCCCCTTTCTTTCATATCTGTTTCAAAACGATCAAATAATTAACATTGAGCAGCTAGGTGACCGGCAAGCAGATCTCCCTGCGAAAAATAAAACTTCTTCGACCATGGAAGCTTGGAAATGAAATCAATGAAAGTCTATCAAGTACTCGGGGTAGATCTGGTTGGCGTCGAACACCACGAAGACCCTGGGATTCCAGGTGTCATCCACACAGCTGTCATACAAATTCACGTAGCTCCCGTCTTTGGAAGGAGGGCGCACGTATTTGGAGTCTCCGTTTATGTAATCTCCAATCAGCACTCGGGCAAGAAACATAGATTTGTACGTTCTAAACAGATGCTGCTGTTGCAGGGTTACGCCGTGAATCTGGAATGTGTTTCCGTGCTTTACGTCATCTTTGCAGAAGCGGCTGGCATAAGCAGCATCTCGAGCAAAATAGGTTCCTTAAACAAAAAGGAGCCCGAAGAGCCAAGATTACTCCAAGGAGTGTATGAAACACAAGCAAAAAAAACACTGTGATTGTTAGGGCGGGGAGACACACAGAATTGTGTAACAGGAATAGACATGGAATTTCCTCGCCGGTAGGTTTTAAAGAAAAGAACAGAAATCCGTCTGTTATGGACAGCTGTGATGCAGGCTGCCACTGGCATAGATCTGTCAGTACAGACCAGAGTCCCCACCACCACCACCAGCCCCGTCCCCACCAAAACGTAGCAACCAGACTTGTGTTTTCAAAAAGAGCCTCATAAAGAAATCCAGTACGTAGATGGATACAAATGGTTTCTGTGATCACAAGTGACAGGACCTGCCTTGTCACTGCTCGGACCTCCCTCCCACTTCTGTTTCCTTCCACCCTTTCCCCATCCACCACCCACCCATCCAAGCAGCCACTGGAGAGCACAGTGAAGCCAAGGGTCTGCAGAGATGATTTCAAACCCCAAGACATCACATTTCTGTGCTACCGGGTAACTGTTCAATAATACTTCTGGAGCTGAGAGAACCCCATATCCAGGAAAAGATTTCTGGAGAGTGTGATCCTATTCACACCTGAACGTTCCAGAAGGACAAGCTCACTTGTCCGCTGCCTAAAGAGGAAACCTCCACGAAGAATCCGACTCTTCCAAAGGGGTAGGCCTAGGAGGCTGACATCATGAAGGGAATACTTACCCTAAAACATTTCGGAAATGAACTGCAAAGTCTCCTATTACCCAAATCCGACGGGACTTAATGTAACACCTTTCTGATCCTCTTACAGTTAAATAAATGGGATGGCCTTTAAAGTCGTTATTTTAAAAATTAATTTACTCTTAAAAATGTAGCACCTCATGGGCTTCCCTGGTGGCGCAGTGGTTGAGAGTCCGCCTGCCGATGCAGGGGACACGGGTTCGTGCCCCGGTCCGGGAAGATCCCACATGCCGCGGAGTGGCTGGGCCCGTGAGCCATGGCCGCTGAGCCTGCGCGTCCGGAGCCTGTGCTCCGCAATGGGAGAGGCCGCAGCAGTGAGAGGCCCGCGTACCACAAAAAAAAAAAAAAAAAGAAAAAAATGTAGCACCTCCTGATCCTGAGTGGTAGCCAGTTCTCTTGCTGGAGGAAAGGTACAAAATAAGGACCAAGCAGAGAAATGCCCAGCCCTTCCCTTCTCCCCTCCCCTCTCCTTAGTTTGCTTGAGTAGTGAGCACAAACTGGAGAACTTAGACTTTCACAACATTAGAAAAAAGGCGAGGATTTCCCCCATGCTCATTAATATTCCTACCTATCATTTTTTTAAAAACAAAACAAAAAAAATAGACCTACGTACAATGTACACATTAATTGATTTATTTTATAGTGCTCTGTGTACTTGACATAAAACAGTTCACTGTATGGGTTTATCCATGGAAAGGACTTATGCATGGAAAGTAAACGTCATCATGCAAAAATCAGCTAATCTGGACATGATGCCCCATCTGAATGACTGGGACTTGGAGGGTTATCTAATCTGGTAGAGGTGTAAAAAGTCTTCCTTCCATCTTGCACACGCAGGAAGTGGTTTTTCGGTGTCTCAGAAACTCTGAGGGTGTGCCAGGAACCCAGTACAGTAACTTTTAACTTAGTGACTCTCAAGCCCCTGAGATACAAACAGTCAATCCTCTCTCAGGAGAGGAGATTCTCTTCTAGCGCTCCAACTGGATTCTGATAGTTACCTTTTCCAAAGAGAGCACCGTGTATACCATTGATTCTCCAATCAAAGTTATGAATGCAAATTGCTTCCACAAATTCACTGCTGGTGCCATGAAACAGCATCTGTTCATTAATCTGGGGCACGCCTCTTTTTTTCTTGAGCTGAGCCTTTTTCCTAAAAACACAATACACAGACACAAAACACACAGATATCTACCATAAGTGGCATTATTAATTTTTCAAGGAGCAAACCTCAACAGAAAGGGTAAAACAGAACACAGTTCTTTAACATACATCATAAGTGGACAAATAGCTCTGGAAAAAAAAAATAATCTCAAATGATCTTGGACACATAAATCATCTCATCAAAAATTATTAGTTAATATTGACACTGAATGTTGAAAATTATACCAAAAACTATAGATATCCCAGACAATGCCCCATCATAGTAAAGTGACTGATCGCCTAAACCAGCCAAGCTTTACAGATGCCTAAAAATGACACTACAAACAGTAAATAATACATAGTTCACAGAGTCTTTAAACAGTGAATTCCTTGAGCACGGACCATGCCTTAATCTTTTTATCCCCACGGTAGGACATGTTGGTTAAACTGAACGGAACTTTGCATCTTAGGGCTGGAAGGGACATGAAGCCATCCAGTTCAAACCTCTTGCCAATGGACAATCCTCTTCCAACACATAAAATGCTATTCAATGTAGGACTTATTGTAATAGTAAAAAAACAAACAAACTGAAAACAGCCTAAAATTCTTTCACAGCAAAATGAATAATTATATATTTATACATGAAAGTTAAAATAATGAACTAGATCTATAAGTATTAACATAGATACCTCTTGAAAAATAATGTTTAATGTAAAAAGAATGATGCAAAAAGAGACTTCTATCTCAAAATAATAATGCATATTGTAGAGGTATACAAACATAGGTATAACAAATATAAAAACATGGATAAGAAGGTATCACAGCAACTTGAGGGCGAAAGAAGGAGGAGAGGATGGGGATGGGGGAAACACTCCACCTTGATCTCTAATGCTGTGTATCTTAAAAAAAAAAAAAAAAAAACCCAGACACAAAGATGAAGAAAATGTCACAAATATTAAAATGTCAAATCTGATTGGTAGGTACATGGGTGTCTGTAAACTGTTGGCTGCATTTTCATTTAAACATATTTCATTTAAAAGATGTCTTAAAGATGAAAAAGAACCCTCCCCCGTTAGCTCTGCAATGAGAGCTGCCCCGCCCCCGGCGCTCCCCGCCCTGCACAGCGGCCAATCTACTGGCCATCAGCTGTAATCGTGAGAAAGTCACCCCCGACGGTGAACCAGAACCTGCCTCCCTGGTCCTTCTACTGTCGTCTCAGTTATTCCCTTCTGAACACAGAACAACCAAACACTTAACACAAAACAACTCCAAGTATCCAGGAATAACTCTGGACACTGATAGGTTTCCTTCCCCAGGCGAACAGACGCCACTGTCTCAACTATTCCTCCCATGGCATAGCTTCTAGGCCTTTCTCCACCCTGGACAGCCTTTAGTGGGCAGGAATCTGCTGGACACCTTCTAGTCCGAAAACGCTGGGAAGAAACAGAAACAGGGCCTAGATGTCGTGGGACGGCGCCCAGCTGAGCTCGCTCTGCACCAGGCATCATGCTACTGATGGAAGCTTGCAGTCAGTTAAAACTGCTGGCGCTTTCCCAAAGCAGGCTTCTCTCCACTCGCCACATTTGTGCAACTGATTTCTAAATCTCACGCAATAGGTTTATTTCAATTAAGCTTTATCTTGATATAGTAATTTTAAAAGTACAGAATTTATAAAGAGCAGGCAGCTTAGGGACTGTTCGGGGTTGGGGGGAAGGACGCTTGCCCTTAAATGATGAGAGAATGGAAATGCACACGGTCCTTCTCAGAGCCCTCTGGCAGCATGTATCAAAATTCAAATGCATACGCTTTCATCTACTGGAGACAGTCTTCTCAGACCATTAAGCATGACGTTGGGAGGATGTGCATTAAACAAACATTTATTTCAGAAAAAGCCAGCATGTTTTCACAAAGAACAAATTATGCCAACTTTCTTTTTAGACCTTTATGTACTGTCTGCCTTGTTTTTTTTACAATGCACATTTGTTGCTTTTCTAACTAAGAATAAAATCTTTTTAAGAGAAGATAATCACATTTGTTTAGACTCACTGTTTCAATCTTCCAAGGTCTTTCTGACTCCTGATTAATTCACCCTACAAGTAAGCTTCCCCTTCTAGTTTTGAACCTTCCACAAGCGTGATAAGCAAGTCTCCTACATTTTCATCCACATTCCTGACAGAGATGTGGAAGGGCTCAAGAGGAAAGCATGCATGCCATTCAAGTTACTCTTTGATAAGACTTTTAACCAGATGTTACTTTTTCCCTTTGTATGGTCACCCGGCACCCAGCTCTCCATCTTGCCTCCATCGTAAGGACCTTTCTCAACCACTCGTAGAAATCAAGTTACACTGTCTAAGGGCCTTATCCACCTACCACTATGGCAGTCCTCTTGGTTAGTGGAGCATCAGTGAATTCATTCGGGTTTTTTCTAAGTAAACATGTCTTTAACATACGTCCTTCAAATATTAAGCTTCACGGTCTGTAATGACTAGAATCCACGCTATAATCAGGATATTCACTCAGCACTACTTTTCAGGTGCAGATTAGAATGAACTTTGGTTTGAAAATTCACTCGAGTCTCTCTTAGATAAGATAAATGAAGTGGTGGTTAGTGAAAGAGCCGGAAGTGTGGGCACTGAAACTCTGCTCAGTCACTGGATGGGTACAGCGTCTATGGGATGGGGTGATCACAGCTCTGCACCCCCCATGGTGTGCACGGTTTACTTTAGTGCCCATCGCCAAGGCACCCAGGACATGCGGAGACTCACACTATGACCTTGATCTAGAAAGGCTAACGTTGGGTTCCAGGGCCTCTTGGGCTCCAGTTAAACCTTCAGGGAAAGTCACAGATTGAAACCGAACTAGGTTCTCCACCACCCTGCCCACCTTTGCCCAACCCCACACTCATCTCTGAACTTACTGAAAATGCTGTTGCACCCACTTCTCAAAGATGTCTTAAAAGTACCCTCCCCCCCAGGGACTAGGGTGCCAACCGGGCCAGGCTGGGTGTGCCCCACATTCCAAATGCAGCAGGAAGAGCTTCGCGCTCTGGACTGAAATAGGTTCGTCCAGTTTAGACAGCGGTTCTCCCTCCTGGCTGAACACCAGAATCACTTGTAGACCTTTTTAAAGATAAAACTGTCAGAACGCAGAGGCTCTGATTCAGTGGCTCTGGGATGGGTGACAGATGCCCATACAGGTTAAAGAGCTTCCCCAGGTGATTTTGACAGGCAGCCAGGATGGAGAACCTCGCACCTAAATCAGCATTCTTAACAAAGCAGCAGCCTTCCCTGCTCTTATTTCCTGCTGCCTTATCCTTCCCAACCCTGGACCAATCCAACCGTCTCCCATCACTGCTTTAGAATTGGGAGGCTGGAATCAATCAAACAACATCGCCATGGTTCCCACCCCATATCCGCACATTCCCACGTCAGCTCAGCCCTCGACACTGATGGAGACCCCATGGTTCCCAGGTTAGCTCTTTCTCCCCTCCGTGTTCCACAGTGGCTGTTTCCTCTCTCTGCTTTTCCTCTCTCTCCCTCACATCCCCCTCCCTAGCACCTCATTCTCTGCAGGAGACCTCACTTCTTCCTTCCCCAAGGAAACAAAGTATCAGGGAGAACTCCCTGACCTACCTCATCTCTGATCCCCTCCCCATCCTCATCTGTATATCTAACTGGACCACTCTGTCTCTCTCCTTCTGACCCGCGTTCTCTGAATCCCACCCCATTACCCCTCCCTCTCTCTGCTGTCTGGGCCTCTCACTGCTGCGGCCTCTCCCATTGCGGAGCACAGGCTCCGGATGCGCAGGCTCAGCGGCCGTGGCTCACGGGCCCAGCTGCTCCGCGGCATGTGGGATCTTCCCGGACCGGGGCATGAACCCACGTCCCCTGCATCGGCAGGTGGACTCTCAACCACTGCGCCACCAGGGAAGCCCTCTGCTGTCTTTTAAACTCTCCCTCTGCATAGGTCCTTTCCTATAATAATGTAAATATCCTCAGGTCTCTCCCATCTTTAAATTCGAAAAACAAAACCAAGCACGCGTCCCACGCCCACATCACCATCTTCTCACGTCTCTCACTCTTCACTGCCGAGCGCCTTGAAACAGTTGTCAACGTTTGCTGTACACACAGTATAGCATCTACCAACGGTGCTCTCGCCTAGGGTACCAAGGACATTTTATTGCAAAATCCAAAGGACATTTTCAACATTCATCTTTCTTGGCATCTCTGCCGTATGTGACCCTGAGGATGACACATACTTGTGTCACCCACGTTCTTCCTTTGGCTCCTGTGACTCCACATTCTATGGGTTTTCTTCCACTTTATGTGGTTACTTCTCAGTCTCCTCCCTGAGCTTTCTCGTCCTCTGTTCATCCCTTTCAGAGTTTGGTCCTTACCCCCTTCTTTTCCTAATCGACATAAAATACCTGGTCATCTTATCAATTCCTTTGGCTTCTATGACCCCACACTTTCCAGTAACTCCAAAACCTTTATCTCTGTCTACACTGCTCTCTTGAGCTCCCAACCCATGTATCAACTGCTAACCCTGCCCCGTCCTCCCCAGACCAAAACCCGTTCCTACCCATTTCCCTCAGTCAATGAGAACAAATAAGTCTGAATCCCTGGAGCTATCTTTCCCATCTCCCCCACCTCCCCTAATGTGCGTGTCCCCATCACGCACATTAAATCGAGTACCAGGCAACATCATTCTACATCTTTAATATCTCAGAACAGTCCTCTTCACTGCAGTGGTACCGAGAGCACCTTGGCTCAGGCCATCCAGTGTGTCACATTTGTAACAACTGAAACAATTTCCTAAGTTGGTTGGTCACCCTTCTGTGATCCTTTTAAACCAGTCTCTCAGCCTCAGCGCTGCTGACTGTTTTGGGCTGCGGAGCTCTTTGTTGTGTGGCCTGTCTTGTGCCTCGCAGGATGTGTAGCATCCCTGCCCTCCACCCCGCAGATGCAGTGGTAGCCCCCGCCTCCTACCCCACGACAATCAAAAACAGCTCCAGGCACTGCCAAACGCCCCTGGTAGGCAAAATCACCCCTGAGAACCACTGCTTTAAACGCCTTCTCCACTGTGCAGCCTGATAAATCATTTTTCTAAAATGCACACCAGCTCCATCACTCTCTTGCTTGAAGTCCTGCAATGGCTTTCCACCATCCCAGGGAAAAGACCCAAACCCCTTAGTTTGTTTACAAGGCCCCGCGTGGCCTGGCCTGTGCCAACCCTCTGACCCAGACGCCAGGTCAGTCCAACTCATAAGGCTGATGGAGAAAATCACACGACCACCCAGTGGGTCTCCCACAAACCCCTGCATGCTCTACCTCCTGAGTCCTTTTCTAGCATCTTCTCTCGCCATCCATCCTATCTTCTGTCCTATTTGAAATCCTCTCAATGTTCTACATTCCCCCTCGTCATCGATCTCTGGCCCGTGCTGCTCCCGATGCCTGGGGTGCCCTCCCCTCTCCTCCCGCATCCAGCCTAGATGACACTGGCTTAGGAAGTGCTCCGTGACACCCCACACACAACCTACTTCTGTCCAAGCTCTGGTCCTGTGCACTCTTACATCCCGAGTGCCTAGAACGGTGCCTGGCACAAAACTGGTTCTGGAACATGTTTCTGGAAGAAGGGAGGAAGGAAGGAAGGCCTGGACAACATGCAAACTGACATCTATCTGCTGGACTCATGTGGGCTTCCCACCTGTACAGTGAGTCACAGGTTACGTGACAATGGGGTGGATGAGTTTATTTTCGTCCTTCAGGCAGAGATCAGAATGACAGGCTGTCCTTAAAATGTGACTCAGTATTTTCTGCTGTCATGGCAGGTGGCAGGTTCATTTCCCATCACAGATTTCTATAGGCCGACCTCACATAACATCATGAATGGCATCTACAGAGTAAAAACATCTCCACTGAGATTCTTAGTATATGATGTGTTGGCGATTCGCTGGAAATTTCTACCACTAGGAATTAATTGAGGTCTCAAATTACGAGGAAGACTGACAGGAATTCCACCTCAGAGGCCCGATTAAGAAGAAGGAATTAAGTCTTCATCAGAACATTTTAGGAAAACTTACTTTACTCACTGAGAGAATAAGATCAAAGAAGACGGAGGCTTCCATCCTCCATTATCCCCTGAATAAAACCTAAACTCAGGGCTTCCCTGGTGGCACAGTGGTTGAGAATCTGCCTGCCAATGCAGGGGACACGGGTTCGAGCCCTGGTCTGGGAAGATCCCACATGCCACGGAGCAACTAAGCCCGTGCACCACAGCTACTGAGCCTGCGCGTCTGGAGCCTGTGCTCTGCAACAAGAGAAGGCCGCGACAGTGAGAGAGGCCCGTGCACCGCGATGAAGAGTGGCCCCCGCTCGCCACAACTAGAGAAAGCCCTCGCACAGAAACGAAGACCCAACACAGCCCAAAATAAATTTAAAAAAACAAAGAAACAAAAAAACCTAAACTCAGTTAAACTCAGTATTGTCAGAAATAAAAGTGGGCTGGGCCCAAAGACTCAAAATTACAAAGAATACAAGCTGAAAACCCTTATTTTATAATATAAACTATTATGAGAATAAAACCTGGAGTTTACTCAGGCTGTAGGAACTGACCTACCAGAAGCATCAAAGAATTCCGCATATTATCACCAAACAAAAGTCAGCCTCATTTTCAAGTATATGAGAATGAAATGAGTTAAGGCCTGGGATTTGCTTTAAAATACTTCAGCAACAACAATAACATAGCAAAAGAGGAGATAGATTATGATGGTAAATCGAGATAAATGTTAAATCAGGATGATGGATACACAGGGTTCATGACATTAGACTCTATACTTGAAATTTCCCTGACTAAAGGTTAAATGCTTGTATTAAAAAATATTAGAAATCAAACCTTGAACACAGATTTAATAAAAGTATTTCAGAAAATCACTTATTTTAAGTAATGCTTATTACTGTTATTACATTATATTATAACGTTATTCAAAAAACTACAGCACGATGTGTTCATGTGGACAATACCTGTTAAGTTTCTTGTAATGGGCTTTATTTTTAGGTTAAGTGCACACCAAGCAATCCAATGGGTCATTTCCAACCTAAATTGAGTAATGAATGGAGATTTCAAATCTAGAACATAAACTCTGGGCTAAGCAGGGAATTTGAAGGTACGTTTTACAATGTCCTTCAAAACTAAAAACAAGCAAATGACTTACAGGCTGGGAAGTCTGAGCCAACAAAGTCATAGTAACAGAACTAAACAGCTCCCCAGACCCCCTGGTAATGCTGATTCAGCCACGATGCCCAGCTCGAAACTCTGAAAGCAGTGCAGAAGAGGCTGTCGGACAGTGTTGCACGGGATGCTGGTGCTGGCTTACAGAGCAGCTCTCCCTGAGGATGAGGAAGAGAGCTGAAAAACCAGGTCAGAACACGCACAGTGCGTCTACACAGCTCACGTGGTGGTGCCACTGACAATGAATATGATTAAACATTTGCGCTTCACTGTCCCTGAGACTGTAAAAGTCTCAGAGGCCAAGGAGGGGGTTCAGAGTAGAAACTGTCTCACCTGCAAAAGAACTCCCACAAGTCTAGGTTTTGAATTCTCTGAATTCTTTTAATTCTGTTGCGATCCACTGTTTTCCCAAAGAGACTAGCAACTTCATTGTATTCGTGTGTTTGATTGTGCAAAGGAATGAGCTGGAAAGAGAAGTTTGCACAGTTTTACTGGGGTCCTTTCCAATCTCTCCCACCTGCAGCTGGTCAGCGCTGCTCTCACCTGGTAGGGCAGGTCGGTATTCACATTCTCCCAGTGGAGTGGCATGGGGATGGCCTCATTTTCACAGATATAACTTTAAACAGAAAAGACAAAACAAAATATTAGAAGCTGATTAGAATCACTGTCAATGACTTAGACGTTTTCTCCCGAGCTGAATTGCCACGCTGCGCTATTGTGACAAATGCAATTAAGTGTAGTCCTTGGTTTCTTTATTTTAAAATATTTATTGAATATTTGCTTGTGTGCAGCTTTTTAGGGGCTGAATTAAGAAATCTGATGGGAAACGTCTAATCCTACATAACATTAAAATTTCAAAAACAGTCGTTTAATTCGGTCTTGTTTTTCTTATTTTTTCAGAATTTCTTTTAAATGGAGGAAGATTTTAGGTGAAGAAAAGGAATTTCCAAGAAGAAAATCAAAAATTCTTGATTAAAAAAACAAACCTCTTTAACAGATGTATACTGCCTATTAAATACCATCCAAAACCCTCGGCCGCGCGCTCAACATCCTTCAAGATCTAACGCAAACCTAAAGCTTTCCCTCTTTATTGTCCCCTATCCCCCGGCACGGTCCGCATGAACTCACTCGGTCCGCATGAACCATGTGTAAGCCACTGGACGTGAACACAGAAAAAGACAATGATCTTGGCGAGCTGGATGGCAAAAGGCTGTGACTGATAATATTGATAGGAATCCTTTCTGGTGACTGCAGGCTACGGAAGACATTCATAAATTTCAAGTCTATCTTTAGCGTATGTTTTAACTCATTTTAACTTTGGGAAGATCCCACAATCGTATGATTTAAAGATGAATAGGTATAAAAAAGTGAACGGTGGATGGTTTCCCTCCCACTCCAGTCCTTGGTCTTCTCACCTCTTGCTCTTCTCACTTCTCACCTCTCGCCTCCATTCCAAGTAATCACTGCTTTTAGTCTCTTGGGTATTCTTCCAGAACTTCTCTAGGTTAACACAAGCCTTTTTTTTTTTTGGCACACACGAATGGTAGCATAATCATGTGTCTTTTGCAGCTGCTCTTTTTTTCCACTGACTATGTTCTTAGAGATCCTTGCGTATCAGTAGGTGAGAGAGCATCCTAGCACAGAGCCTGGCACACGGCAGACACTGTTGCGTGGATGCTCTCTTACCCACTGATATGCAAGGATACCACCCCTACTGATTACAAGTCCCCTACTGATGACATTTAGCCTTTTTCAACTCTTTGCTACTGTTAAGGATGCTGCAAAGAACAAGTCTGTCCCTTTGTCACTGTACATGGCCACGAGTCAATTTTCAGGATAACATCTTTGAAATGGCATTTCTGAGTCAAAGCATATATTTATTCCTGATTTTGACAGAAGCTGTCAAGGTGCCCTCCTCGAAGGCTATACTCATTGGCATTTCCTCCAGAAATGGAGAGAACACCTATTTGCCAACAACCTCTCCAAAGGAGTGTGCTGTCAAACATGAGAATTTTTGTCAATCTGATGGTAAGAAATAATCTGGTATAATTTGTATTTCTCTTAGTACGAGTGAGGTTGCATGAACCGTTCAAATTCTTCAAAGAATTCTTCTGTTCTCATCCTACTAAGGGGTTGCTGGTCTTCTACTTAGAGATTCCAAAAAGTACTTCAAATACTATACAGGTGAACCCTTTGACTGGGATACCGAGTAACAATACGTTTCCCAGGTCTTCTTTGTTTTCTTTGTATTTTTACTTTGCCTGATGTATCTTTTAGCCATGGAAAATATTTTTGTTTGTTTGTTTAATGTTTGTAGCCTTAGTTAATTATAAATTCCTTGTCAATAGGAAATGTACTATTCACCTTGCATGTCAAAAAATGCCCAGTGTATTCCTGTAATAAATAAACATTTGTATATCAATACCTCCTCATCTTCATCACTCTGTATCCTACCTAACTGTTCTTCACTTTTATTATCTTGCTTTTTGTCCTCTGTTGTCGCTAATTCTCTCCCTCTCCTATCTTTGTTCTATGGCTTGTATAGTCTGTGAGAGAACAAAGTGCTTGACCCCATTAAGTGCTTCTCCCCACCAAAGGGTACCAGATATAATAACACACAGTTACAGTAACAATTTTCCATTATTATGTCTCATTTTTCTCCCAGATTCCATACCCTTTGAAGATAAGTAATTCCTTTATTAAAGCCCTTACACTTAAGAATGAGGATGTGATGTAGCTGGTAAGGAAGTAAGATTCTCTCCCTTCCCCAGAAGTACTAGAGCATTCATTATATAAGTACTTGAGTAACTTTTAAATCATGACCCTAAAATGTAAGCCAAAAGTCTCAAGAAGCTAACTGACAGAAACTTTAAAAATTTCTATCTTTAATCCTTTCAAAATATCTCCTTGAAAGGAACAAATGGGCGTCTCCTACAATTCACATGCTAGCATTGTTTCTGTTTCATTTTAAATTCTTTGAACAATGGGAATTTCAATACTTGATTGAGGAATCGTTCCAGAAAACAGGAGACATGCCCTTCAACTCCATTCATATGAGTAACAAATATTTATTCTCTTCTGGCATTTATACTCTCTTTTCAGGCTACAGACGGCAGGAGACAGAAAAAGGAAAACTCGCCACCCAGATCCAGGGGGCAGGAGGCTGTGCCCTTGTCCCATGCACCCCCATCTTCCCAGGTCCCCTTTAATCACTACAGATTTGAAATTACTTCTAGGAGTTGCCCAATGGGGTTCAGTGCAGGTGAAGACACAGTGGGTAATTACCTAGGATTTATGGCCCAAATAACTGGATGGTCCTGTGAGAGTCTTTCCAAGCTAATTAAAACTTACCTCAGTAGGTTATGTTAAGGATTTATAGCAGAGAGCATAAAGCATTTTGTAACTACCATGCAAAGTGCTCTAAAGAATTGAAAAATACAAATATATAAGGGGAAATGAAAAGGACAACAGGAAAGGAAATGCCAGCAGAAAATAACAACACTGCTCTTGCATCAATGAATGTGAAATTCAGTAGAGAAAAGATCGATATTAAGATTATTAAAAATAACCTACCGAAACATTTTCAGTTTATTTGTTCCTCTGTTAAATATTAAGGAAGACAAGAGAGAGAAAAAGCCCACTCTTGCTTTCCACCCCATTCTCTCCACAATACCTGAAAGCACTGATAGAAAAAGGGGCTCTTTTTATTAAGCGCTGTTTTCCGGTGGTGAGATTCATCTGCTTCATTTCTGTGCAAAAAGACAAAGATGTTAGATAAGTCACAGAAACACACTGTGCTACAAATTGTCATGAAAATTTCTAGCCACACTACATGATGGTCAGGGAATCAGGGAGCTTTGGGAGTAGCTACTAAGCACAGTATGTTAGGGATACTTGACCAACATCTGTTTATCATGGCATAAAAAGCAGCTTCATTGCTTGACCTAAGCTCACACAGGAGGAAGCTAACCTCATACATGGCTCGGTATGTAAGGTCTATCCCTTTCTGTACCATACTTGGGTTAAACTGACTTGAAAATCGGAGAGTTCTCAACTTAGGAAAATTAAGAGTACTAGAAAGAGAAAGAAATTACAGTACTGAATCTTCTGGTTGGCTTCTTAAGTGAAAAGTGTTACTTTGATTTCTCCAAAAATTTTGGAAATAATAAAAAAGATACATTACCATGATAAAACATGTACAATTCACAGAGTTTCAAAAATTTGTACATTTCTTGCCTTCTCTTTAAATTGTACACCTAAACCAAAAAAACAGAAAACCTAGCTAGACTCAACACAGACTTATATGAAAGATTCTAGTGATGAAAGACTAATGAACTAACTAAAGTATCATTTTCTTCTTACCTCTGTTCCTCAGCTGTGGCAACATTTACTAGGTCCCCCTCTTCATTCCCACAAAGTTAGGTGCTAAGTCTTAATGTGAGATTCTCGTCAGTCTACCTTGTCTAACTGGCATCATTCCACTCCAAGATAAAGGGGTTCACCCATCCAGGCCAATGCTGTGTGAAGTGCGTTTGTCCTTTCCGTATTCTCCTAGGCTCTGCACACACTGGCGTCTGACCACCGCGCAGGGAAAAAGAAAGGTCATCCCAGCACATGCGGTGAAGCCTGTGCTGCGTTCTTCTCATACTACCTCGTTTTGAGTTTGCTTTTCACCATTGTTACAGAGAAGCCGAGCTGGCTTGTGGCAGAACCATGGGGGCTAACTTTACAAGTGGTACACGGGGAATGCTAATACCTGTGCCTCTGAAACTGTGTCATCACACAGAGGAGCGGGAGCTGGCGCTATCATATGTGACTCCAATTCTTTGATAAAGACTTAAATAAACTGCACCGTCTGAGAGAAAACTTCCAAAAATTACAGCTTACTAGAAAATATTCTTTCAGAAAATGCAGCTTGCTGGGCTACCTACCAAAAGCTCTGAACTCCGTGCTCTACATGAAGCTTGATGTCTGCACATTGCGATGTCTCAGTATGGCTTCAACACTGACAGGTGTACTCAAGACTGAAGTGTCTGCTGACACCTTCCGTCTAAGACAAATGTCGGGCCCCCTTAAAGGCAGCCTATTTGCCTAACGTCGTAAAATATGTTATGCTTAGTCAGGAGTAAGAATCTAATGGCTTTAACTCTTGATTTAAAAAAAAAACTCACTCTGGGGGCACAACAGTCATTAGAGATCTGATTCCATCAGTGTCTTAGTGGACAAATCTCCTGCAGCATGACTGGGCCTTGGATCCTCCAAAGGAATCTCCTAGGGTTTCAACACCCCCCCTCACCACGGTATAGCACTGACTCTGTCATAAGGACTCTACTCACAGAAAATAGGAAAGAACATCTAGAGGCCTGAGCTGTGTGGCAGCCCAAAGGCGCTTTTGTTAAGAAAGTCTCCCCCTCCAGGTTCTGTTTGCCTCTAAGCAGTAAACAGCTGAGGCTGGCAGCTTGAAACTGCAGGGTGAGTCCAACAGGTTTCTCATGGGGTCCCTAAAAACATGCCCATGTATCACGGATGAAATATGAAGCGGGGCTGATTTCCAGATTAGCTGGTTAATCTGTGAAAGAGCCAACAAAATCAGAAAGTGCCAGGAGGCAATGTCCATTGAAGAGTAGTTTTCTAGGAAAGACACCAAGAGATGGGTCATTCAGCTGAACTGTGGTCTTAAAACTCAATCCAGCTACCTATGACTCTGCGTGTAACCTCTCTGATTGATCCTTAAAATCTGACTGATCCTACCTATTTCAAAAAGCTGAGAGGATGATGAATAAAACAATGGCTTAGAGGTGTTTTGTGTTCCTTAGAAGAGAAGCATTACAGGAAAATACATGACAGTCTCCATATATGTTAGTATCTATAAGCATATAAATAACCTTTATAAAAGGCAATGTTGCTCAAAAAGATTTTAAATGTTGAATTTTTTTACAGGTATTTTTATGTGTTACAAAAAGGATTTACTCTGTTGTTTGCAAGTATGTCAACTAATCCTGATTTTCAGAACTGCAGATTTCACCATATCAACATACTAAGAACACACAACTATTAGGGAAAAAGACATACCTGCAAAGTCTATCTTGTAGCTGAATTTGGAAGTAGTAAAAGAAATGGAGCCACAAGGGTTTGTTTTGAAGCTTTTTTCGATATCTTCACTGCTAACTGAACACTGAATGTTGGTATCCGGCTTTAAGACAAACCAGAAAGTTCATTTACCAGCTGTTCACAGGAATGGCTTGGCCACAAAGGCAGTAATGGGGGACGGAGACAGAGTGGAGGGACAGAGGAAACTTACTAATCACCTGTTCTAGTTCCCAACACACGGGGAGAATCACAGCTAAGACAGCATATGGAAAATAGCTTAAGGATTTCCAGCAAAGAAACTTCGGTAACTGGTTATAAGGACTTTTTCCAAAGTATTACAGTGTTTCCAAATTATTGCCAAAATTACACATCTTAAGTGGCTCAAATCAAATCTTCCTTAAGTAGCCTTGTAAGCAAAAAAAAAAAAAAAAAAAAAAAAAAAAATCCACAAGCTCTTGAATATGGGTTCAGGTCTCAGCTTAACCGTTAACGAGCTGTGTGACTCAAGACCAATTACAGTAACTTTTCTGAGTTGCACTGTCTTTGGCTGTAAGGCAGAGTGCTAGCATCTGCTTTCGGGTTGCTGTGAGGCTGGAGGAGAAGACATCTCTACACCCTCTAACCTAACACCAGGAGCACAGAGGCGTTTAAGACCGGCTTGGTCGCTTCCCCTTCCCTTTGTCCACCAAAGCAGGCCTGGCCTTGCTCCCATGTGCCGAGACCACGTACCCCTCAGTCACGCTTGCACTCTGGACACACAGAAAACACACACCGTTTCTTCTAAGTAAACACTGTGAAAACCTGGGGAAAGGAAAAGGACCAGAAGAATTTCTGATTTTTCTTTTCGTTCCACCCTCTGACTTCCCTGAGGTTTTATTTCTTTCGGGTGCCGCCCGGACTCCCTTTTCACACCAGCACAACGGTGCTCGGTGAGTCTAAACCCCGCCTGCTCCGCCCGAGGGGCGCTACCTGAAACATGTGCCACTTCCCGCACTCTGCCAGGTAAAACCAGCCCCACTGCGTGTCCGACGTGTCCATCTCATCTGTCTCGCTGTTTGCAGTCTTGGATAAGAATTCTTCTGTTCTGTGAAACATCTCCTGAAGTGCCGGGAAGAGGGAGAGGAAGAAATCGTTCTTTTAATAACCAGTGTGCTTTTCACATATCATTTTTCTTCTCACAAAGAGCTGTATTCCAACAGTGATGTTGACAAATAGCATTCTATCTCTCATACTGGCTCTGAAGATAAACATTTTAAAATGTTAAATTATCACATCTGCACATCTTTCTTGGACATGGGCCTTAACATTCCAGTTTTTTAGCAGCAACTGCTACAGAAATGATTTGGGTCTTTTGGGTTAATTGCTTATAGGAAAAATTCCATAGTGGACTGTTTAGAAAGAAAAAGGAAAGATTCAGTTTGGGATTATGAAATAAACCACAAATTTAATTTTTTGTTTAAACTGTCCACGATCTGATTAAAAAAATCTGGTCTTTATTTTAAAAAATGTTGAATATCCTCACACTTAACAAATAAGACAAACAATCAGACACTTAGGTGGATATATCAATGTCCACGCAACCACTTAAGTAAGCGGTATCAACACCTATAAGCACTCCAGATTCTCAGTTTAATGCCAAGAAATTTCTGTCTTATCAAATGTGCACGTATTTGGTCAAAAGGATCCACTATCACAACTAGTTAAGACCAAATACAACTGATTTTTGTTTTAAATATTCATATTTCGGGAATTCCCAGGCGGCCCAGGGGTTAGGACTCAGCGCTTTCACTGCCGGGGCCTGGGTTCAATCCCTTGTTGGGGAACTAAGATCCTGCAAGTTGCTCAGCGTGGCCAAATAAATAAAGTATTCATATTTCATTTAGTGGCACAGAAAGAGTTTATAACATATAGTGTTGAGTACAAAGAATGTTACGATAAATAGAAATAGTATGATCCGATTTTAATAAAAAATACATCTATATTTACCCACATGAAATACAGATGTGGGTATACGCATATGTACATACACACAGAAAAAGTCTGGATGGATACATCAACACTTATCATAGTTTTTCCTGAATATTAGGATCATAATAACAGTAACCCTTATAGGGCTCTTACTGTGTGCCAGGTGCTGTCCTCAGTACTGCACAAACAATAAGTCATCTGGGCCTCACAACAACCCTTTAAGATATGTACTATTAATACCTCAAATTTATAAATGAGGAGGTCACACAACGTGGAAGCCAGGATTCAAAGCCAGGCAGTCTGGATCCAGGGTCTGTCCATGTAAGCACCATAGAATACTACCTTATACTTCCTTATCAGTGACTTTATAATCTTGCCTATATTATGTACACATTATCTTTGAAAAGTTTTAAACATTCTTGGGTGGAGACTGTGATGAAGAAAAGGCCATCAGAAAAGGGACGAAGAAGTCAGTCAAAGATTCAACTTTATCTGGAATGCGGCTTTCTGTCCTCATTCTTTAAGGGTTTTTAAATTATTAATTTAAATTTGCACAGCTGATACATGAAAATCTCTCCTTGCAAAACACCAGAACCTTTAAGATAAAGCTAGACTCTTTCTGACTATCACCTCCATTCCTGGCGCCTCTCACCTTCCTTCGCCAGGGTTAATCAGTACTGTTTGCTTACTGTGCGACTGTCAGGCTTTGCTCTCTCTCTGCGTGCGTATGCGTGCGTGCGTGCGTGTGTGTGTGTGTGTGCGCGCGCGTTTCATCATATACACACATATAAACTTATACGGTTTCTGCTGATTTGTTAAAAATGTGATTTCCTATATCTCTGTTTTTTTTTTTAAACAAAGAATATGTACTATACTTGGGTAATTTGGAAAATATTTGCTTTACATTTCATTGTTTAAAGTGTACAGAAGTGGTGTAACGTGGGATAAGCTTCCATGGCCTTGTTAAGGCCACAGCTTCCTCCTCACAGAACCTAGATGAAAGGCTCCTTCCTCCCGGGGCTGCTGGGAGAGGTGATGCTCGGTACCACAGTGAAGTACCAGGCACAGTACCTGAGCTCAGGGAATGGGACTTGTTATTTTCTCATCCATGTTTGGAAACTCTCTCCAAGGGATGCTCTGCGATTATGTTCGGGACTTTTCCTTCATGTTTTAAAGTGGATTGGCCACTAAGAAATGAAAACCAGAACACCCTAGGAGCAAGAGATGCAGATTTGGGGCCCACTATTTACCTTATCTATTTTAACCCAATAAAAAGGGCAGTGATTTAAAATTTAAGATCAGTTGTGTAGGTTAACTGTTCACAACACCTGCTCTTCCTTCTATTACTTATTGTTCACATAATTTGCTCATTTTACTGAGAGACAAAGAAAGCGAGAGTGACTTAAATTTATTTTTCTTCTGAAAATAACCAGAAAAATTTGGAAGGATGAGATTCAAGGAAATAGTTAAGATAAATATGTGGCTTATGAGTTCCATCTAGGAGAAAAGGGAATGGGAAATAGGAGCCCCCTTTACACAGCATACATGCAACATGTGTGCTTTGCTACGTCACACTGTTCCCAAGACCACACCCTGAGCCAGGTTACAAGTGGACGTGTTTCACAAAAGTCCTTTCAGAGCATCCTGTCATAAGCAGCTCTCGCAGGGGGAGGTGGGTAGGACAGACTCATCTCATATTCATCCCTATGCGGAGAGGGCAGCACCACAGACAGCCACCACTGCCCTGAAGTGCTTCAAATTTTATAAAGTTCCTTGTCAGTTTACACTAATTTTTTCCTCTACAACCCAAAGCACAGGAGAAGTCATTCTCTAATTAACTTTAGGGGAAAAAAACGAAGCAGAGAAGATACAATTATGTGTCTAGGATCATGGAGCTGGCAGTTCAAAGAAGATTCTAGAAACACCCGAGGCCTCCGGACTGTCAGCTCTTCCCTAAGTTGTCAGTCCCCTGCCTCGTTTTCCTACATGGACAGTTGTTCCTTCTTTCCTCTAGGGCCAAAGCTGAATGTGACTGCTTTGCTTCACAGATGCTATGGCTTTCTTTCCAAAGACTCAGACTCAGTTCATAAGACTGACTCATGGTTTTCTACAAGTTCATCCTCCAAAGGAATGGCTATTCTGTATAATTAGGCTCAAAGAATTAAGTTAAGCTTCAACGCGTAACTTTAAAATACTGTAACCAGCGTAGTAATGGATCTAGGATAGAATACACTTACAGGCAACAAAAGGAGTGTGCGCCAGGTGTCCACCAGGGAAAAGGCAGTGAATGAATGTTAGTGGAATGAATTAGATCAGCCACGACACCATAATCTGCCATGCTTTTCCGGTTTTTAATTGGCAGACGATGATAATTCCTGCACTTCAGGCTAAGAAGGACAAAAAAGCTAGTATAAATTGGAAAAGCATTTTGTAAATTTTCCAGTGCAATGGGTATGCTGGTGGAACCTGTCTACAATGCTAGCTATTCCAACCGGAATATTTATGGAGCCTGGGAGCAATCAATCTGGATCATCAAATTGAAAGGCCGGGTGGAAGATGGGCTCAAAATCAAAATCCTGCTCTATGGGAGAAAAATAATGCCACCTTCCAGATTGGTTAAAACCTTTCTGATGAGTTTATTAAAATACACAGAATATAATTTATTTTGTTAGGATAAACGTAACACCTTGAGGAAATCATAGTTGTAATGCAAACTTCCTTGTCTCTTATAGGAAAAAGGTCCAAAACTGGATACTGAAAGCTTACAAACAGGGTGGAACTTTTGGAATGACAGAGTAAGGAGTGCAGTGGGCCCCTCCCCAGCAAAACTGCATTTTAACTGGTGGGCATTATTTAAAAGAACAACATTAACGTCTCTGGAAACTGTCTTAAGATCATCTAGCAAATAGAGAAATATTTATTCAAGAAAATCTACTAGATCTCCAGAACAGGCATTTGGGGCAAGATCTGGTCCACCACTCCCCACCCCACCGGCTCAGTGTTGCAGACGAGAAGACAGGGGCTCCCTTTCCTCCAGCTCCCTTTCCCTCCTGACCCTGGAAGGGTCAGGCTGCCCACAAGTGCAGAAGGTCTACTCTGGGCAGGCAACACAGAGGACCCATCTCCTTTCCTCTACCCGGTCCCCACTCATTTGGTGGAAGCTCCAGTCCAAGCCCAGCCAGCTGTGAATACTGGGCCCTGATTGCTCCCACCCAGGTACAGGGTGGTTTCTAGGGTAATGGTTTCATGGCAGGAGGGCTAAGTCAAGTAGACCAGGGGCTGCCACCACCCCTCCCGCCCAGGGTGTCACTCTGGGAAGAGTGGGCTCCTAACTCCAGCTCCAGTGACACAGGGGTTCTACTGCAGGAGGAAAAGCACATCCTAAGGACAAAGAGATCCATGACTCTGCCTGAGGGGACTGATTCTACATGTAACCGAGTATAGAGAACCTCACGTCTATGAGCATTATCGAAAAAAATGGAAATCTTTGATGAAAAACAATTAAGGAGAGGCCCGGAGCTCTGATACAAGCAGAATGGCACAGTAGGCAGAAATTTAATATAGAGAACCAGGGACAGCCAAGAAAGCCCTCCTGGGATTATAGTCAACGGTGGGAGTCGGGAAGGCTGTGCACAAGCTCTAGGCTGTGTCTACCCAGGAGCGGTCAGAACAGGTCACGGGGCAGACATGACAGCATTCCCAAGGCTGCACACAGGTCCCTCAACACAGGGGGCAGCCTCACTGGCACAAGGGGGTTAAACATAACCTCTGACCAAACACTGAGTGAACTATCCTTTCTCCACTGAGTCTTACTTCTATAGAAAATCAGTTGTCTGTTTGTTTGTGGGCCTATTTCTGGACCCTCTATTCTGTTCTAATAAACATTTTCTCTATCTTGATACCAATACTACACTGTAGTGTTAGCACTCCAAATTTATTCTTTTTTCAGAACTGCTTTGGTTAGATCTTTTCAATTTTGATTGGGATTGCATAGTGACCTATCTGGAAGAACTGGCATCTCAACAATATGGAGTATTCCAACCCATGAATGAGGTACATCTCTTGACTTATTTAGGTCTTATTTAAATGTTTCAATGTTTTATAGTTTTCAGTGTACAGTCCTGCATATC